TAGAAGGAGTTTGTAAGCCGGGCTCAGACAGTATCCTGGGAGAGATCTCTTCATCTCCTGAAGAGAGATGAAGTTGAGGAAGAGTTAACGGGGTAAAGGTGCTCTGTGAGACTGGATAAACAGGTGTGTAGGCTGAAGGTTTATGTGGTTGTTGGGTTTTTGCTTCATTTCAGAATGGATGTGGACTTTGTGACTTGGCCACCTACAGTCACCTCAAAACATCTAGCCTGTGCTGAAGAGAAAAAGCCCCGGTGCTGAAAGGGACACTGCAGCTGCTACCAGAGCAGGTAAGGGATCCTATGATAGTGAACATTTTAAGCATAACGTGTTCATCTCCTGCCCCCTCAGCTCTTGAGGGGACCATGTGTGTATAGGTAAGCAGAGTAAGGTTTGACTGTTACTGCGGCACCTTTTCCTGCCTCCTCTTCCCCTTTCACTGCAACATTTTATTGTCTCTTGGGCAACTTTTGGAGTGCTTTAGAGTTATGTTCGAACCCCACGGCGTTACTGACCCTGGCCAGCTGTGTCCCAGCTATGTGAGGTGACAGATCCTGTGGCTCTGCTAGTGGTGTGAGGGTGCAGGGCACTTGCCTCATCCAGGAGGAAGAAGGGGTATTTCTTGCAGAGGCTCAAAGCCTCTGACTGCCCAGCTTCACAGCAGCAAACCTCCAAATTGTGTGTGCCTGAATTCCCACCCTGCCATGGTGCAAGGCTGGTTGCTGACAGAGATGTGTGGTGGTATCAGCTCAGCAGGGCTTGGGACACATGATTCCAGAGCAGAAAGCTTTTACTGGGCTCCTCATTCCCCAAGTGACCAGCTTTGATCTGTCAGTATTTTAGGGCTGACTGAGAGATATTTTTAGAAAAATTGTTGGTTTGACTCTGATTGAGAAAGCCTCAGAACAAAGAGGCTTTGGGGAAAGCAAAAGGGCAGCAATTTGTCAGACAGACCTCCCCTAAAAAAGACTGGTCCAGCACATTTGTCACTTTGAGCTACCAGTTCCCTGTGTGACAGTAAGGAGGTGGGTACCCTCTTCTAAGACTTTCCTGCATTCTCATCCTATGACAGTTCATCCCTGTCACTGCCAGGGTTTTTGTCCTAGTAATTATAAACCAAAATCCAGGATGTGTGAGACACGATATAAAATATGACATATATACATGATGGCATTTGTATTTCGAAGTCCATTGGTGTGTACTAGCAACGTACGTAGCGGCTTTGATTAAGCAATGGGTCTGTAATGCCTTATGCTTGGAGAAGTCTAAGGAGTCTCTGTTGGACTTCTCTTACAGTAAGAGGGAAGGGTGCAAAATAGGTTAAATTAAGAAGAGACCCACCTGGGTTGTCTCCTCATGGGAGGAGGACTCCAGGCTAAAAGAGGATCCCAGGTATGAGAGGTGCATAGGGAATGTGCTTCCTAAGGGCAGCAGGATTATCCACAAAGACCAGGCACCTTCCAGACATTTCCTGAGCTATTTGGTAGCCACGGAGATCAAGGACACAGCTTTCAGATGGGAATGCCTTGATGCCAAGTGAAGTGCAGGATGGAGGGGTCTGGCAGGTGAGCTTATGTTGATGGCTTCAGTCCATGGACCAGAATAGCTGCTTCCTCCCCTCTGGGCTGTTTAAGGGCTCGGAGTCAGCCTTTGCACAGAGGTCTTTGGGCTCCGATTAGCGCGACTCACACAACCTCAGCGGGGAAGGGAGGCTGGCAGTTTGCCAGGCATGTGATATTGTTAAATTGTAAATGAGAAAGGATCCAGACAGCTGCGCTCCGCTCCGCATTGCAGATCAGCAGAAGAGTCGGAGAGCTGTCTCTGGTCATTGTCAAAAGGCAGGCTAAAGATTCACAGATGGTGGAGGTGGCTCAGTTAGCGGTCACATCCATGCATCTTCACGGTGCTAGAGGAGAGTGCTAGGGAGGCAGCACTGTCAGCACCACCCAAACCCACTTAAAAACTCTGTAGGGCACTTGGTAGGACTGGGGAGAAGATAAGCAGCTCTGAGGTGAATGAGTTTGGATCTTTTTATTATTTTTTTTTCTTAAGAAGAAAAGTAGTTTGCCAGAGGTGACTCCAAACATTGCAGTGTGACACTGCACCCGGACGCATGGGTCACGCTTGTCTATGTAAGCGGCCGGTGTCTTCAGGAGCTGGGTATCAGTCACTTGCTGACCCGTGCTGTGATTCTGTGAGTGCGCAAAAAGCAAATTTGCTGGTAATGGGGGAAAAAAACATTTTTCAGGCAGTCTGAAAGGACGGCAGCAGTCCACCGGCAGAATGTGAGTCAGAGGGTACCTTGGATTCCTTTGATCGTTGTCTACTTCCTAGTTCTGTTTGAAAGGACTGCGTCTTCATAAACCTGTGGCTTCCCCACTGACTTTTCAGTGACAACCAACACTTCTGTTTCTGAAGAGTTATACACAAAATGGTAAAGACCTTTTGGGGAGTTTAAACTGATGCCACTTTGCTGATTTCAGTGGAGCCCTGCCTGTATTCAGCAGGTGTGGCTCAGCAGGTCTTCCTGAGAAGACCTAATGCAGAAGTCCTGTGAAATAGGAGAATATGTATTCTACAAGCAAAGTGGGAGGAAGGGGACTGGATTGCAAAGGATTTTTGGAGCAGGATTAATCCCTAGATAACCACCATCCATTTGGGCTGTAACCACTGGGTCGTGTTCCTAGGAGCCAGTCTTGGTCCAGATGAAATGAGTTGGTTTTGGCTGTGAGAGAAGAAGTTTCTATATCAAAGAACTACTGTCAAATCCAGCTACTTCTGGATTTGACCCTTTGTTAGTAGCAGCTGAAGCCTAGGACAGATGCAGGGAAGTGATTGTACATCAGATGCAGATGCACAGCTGAGCTGTTTCAAGAAACTGGCATGTAGCTCTCCATGTTCTGCAGAAGAGGTGTGTTGGTGCCCCAGGGCTGACAGCACTGCATTGCCTTGGGATTATATTTTTTTTAATGCCAAATAGGTACAAATCTTGGGAGAATGACTCAGCTAAAGTAATCAACAAAAAGATTCCTGTTGATACCAGTGGGCTGGTAAATGGGAAATTTGGACGGACGGTCCTTCTGTGTTGCATCTAGAGTGAAGCTGGTATGAAGGGTGACCAGCTGGGGTCAGTGCTAACTCGGGTGGCTTGGCTTCACGCAGGTTCCCTGCAGTATAATTGTGCCTGAACCCTTCCACCTGTAAGAATGCAGTAGTGGCCTAAAATACCTCCTAATTCCTTTGCTAAGAAGTCAGGCATTAGGACATGCTTGCCTTGGTGTAAGACAAGCTGTGGCAGGCTGAGAATCATCCAGCTATCTAGGTGGAGTTATAGCCTGTAGAGAGGCTTATCACCTGTCAGTGAACATGAGGAAGAAAGATCTGTTTTTCAGGGAGACCAGCAACAACTGCACAGACCTCTCTATACAGCAGTTTTGTATTTGCCACTTCTACAGCCCCAGATCTTCCTCTTCAGAACATGGGAAATACTTGAGCTCTTCATCAGTCACATTGTGTTTAATGTTCACAGTTTGCTAGATTAAGTAGGCTTGTTGCTGTGGGGAAATATTTTTGTCTGGCTGAGGATCCCCATTCTACCCTGCCATCTGTTCTGATTATTGCAGTAGCAGTTTTTAAAAAACCCGTTGAAGTGCCCGCTCATGAGTTGTGTTACCTTTCAGAAGTCACCTCTGATTGCTCTGGCTTGCCATGGGTCTCACTGGTCTATCATCTCTGCAGCCGTCAGTCTCACAATGGTGCTGCGCAGCTTTACTGAAGCTATCCCAGGGAAGTGTAATTCTGGACTGGCTGAAAGCCGCAATCTCTTGCCTCAGGAAGTCATGACTTCATAGTTTTGTACTTGTTAACAGCTGGAGCCAAACTTGCCTGGTTTGGAAATTGTGGTCTGCTAAGAAGCTAGACCTCTCCTCATCTCATAGTCTGGAGCAGAAAACAGACGTTGAGAAAGCTAGATCCAAAGCAGAGCCTGCAGACTTTCCTTGGTGCCTCTGCTGTACTTGAAGTTCATTTCCCTTTTTAGCAGGATACAAA